ACCCATGTTGCTGAGACTGAAATTGCACATGCAAACAGCACATCTTGCGGTCGACGGATTTGAGCTTACTTTCATAATCCACTCACAATAAACGGGGTGCTCTAACCAAGCATCATTGAAATGACAGTTCCCTGGCATTTTGATTTTCACTTTCAAAAACTGTAGCAGTCAAAAGTCACAAAAATATTGCGAAACATTCTCCGTTAAATGCCAAGTTGGATGTGAAAATAAAATAGCAGTGCGAGACAACATGTAACGTAACAACACACGTCCACGATCGACGACACGTACGTACACGTGTATAGCCAGATAGTGCTAGCGTACGTGCCGGCCAAATTCGGATTTTCGAACTATCAGTATGTCAAGGGTTTGTAAATTATTTCATTTGTATTGAAATTATCGAAGCAGGTCAGAAAAAAAATACATATAACATTTTTTATTTATATCAAAAGTAAAAATTATAATTCTCTTTCTAAAGGGATTTTTATCATTTCCACGAGATTCAAAAATAGTATATCTGGCAACAATATGACATCACGCCTATGGTCTGCATGTGCATGCAACTGCCACGTGCACATTGGCAATACACACAGCGCACACACACACACAATGCATATGCACCCAAATGCTTGCAGAGATCGAGACAGCAGTGCACACAACCACTGTACACACACAATACTCATACAGGCACGTAATGCAAGTGATGAACTCGTTTTCACAATAAATCGGCAAATGTTACGAATAAAAGAAAACACGGGAAGAAAATGGTTGAAATATCTAAATTTATTTACATTTCTAGTGAAAAATGGAATGAATTTTCACAAATTTTGATATTCCACGACTTTTTAGTCAATTTATCAATTTTTCCTGACTTTCAAGGCCTGGAAAATATGAAAGTAAAATTCCATGACTTTCCAGGTTTTCCATGACCCATACAAACCATGAAAAAGAACATCTAAAGTAACTATAAAAAATTTTCAAGATATGTGGTTTATTTTTTAAGTCTTTTAAACTTCCCATTAAATTCTACCGTTCATCCTTGCAGAAGTTAGGTCTCATCACTTCCCCACAAAATCATAAATTACTATTCATGCCACTTTATTCACCCTACATTGAAGTAAGTAGTTTATAACATGTTCTATCCAATGGTATTTAAACTTTGGCTGTAGCTACTTTCACAGCTCAGCTTCATTAGCACTTGTTCAGATCACATGCTGTGAGACCAAGATAGGGTGGAAACAAGATCCTGTACTAATAAAACCAATGTAAGAGAAAATAAAATCATGTGAGAAACAAAACATATATAATTATATTCTCAGGGATGCTAGCTTCTTGGCAAATATAAACCTTTGCTTTGGAAAGAGCAGAAAAAGCCTAAAAAAATTCATAAATGTACTGCTTATGTGTAAAACTCGTTAGAGACGTGCAAAAATGGAAGTTAGAACATTTTTATTTTTCTGCAAATTACACTAAATAATATCAATTTGAATATTTTTGAGTTAAAAATTGTAGAAATATAATTGAATTTTTATACTTGCTTAAATTTTGGAATTTGATATACAAGTTTGCACTCAACATCTATAAGGTGCTCAACAGTAGCAATTGGGTTATGGTAATGTTTCAACTAGGTGAAAGCAATGTACACAATTCCTTTTTTTTTTTTATTATATATACAGTATAAATTGGCAGTTCAAATGAACTAACAAATAGATTGCTTTGAAATAATGAACAAATTCCATATATATATATTTGCTTTCTTCCAGAAATCACAGATTATTATTACAATACAATATTTTCTGAATTGAACATACATTTTCTTTATATTACTTTTCAATAACTATGTAACTTGATAATATAAAATGTTCTAAAGATTAGCTACAAGTAATTATAACTGCTTAGATTAAGAAAAGAGATTTTGTTCCACTCATAATTTCAAGCCTACAAAAGTCTTAGTTTATCTGTTGATGTTTGCTGTACATTATCTAATCATGTTTTGTAAAAACAATAATCCAAAGGAAAAATCAACTGTCATAACATTTTATACAAGTTCCCTAAATGTGAAATTCCAGATTTATACAGAACCAGTCAAGAAGGTTTATCATGTTAGTGAAGAATCACCTCTTAAACACATTGGTAGAAGTTATTCTCACTGTCATGAATTTTTGGTATATTATAGTAAACTTTTTTACTTTTCAAAATATATAACATTCTTAATACATATTACATTTCAATCTATGCTATCAATTAGTTTTTGATTACTTGTCATGAAGAACCAAACAAATTTTTAGTTTTCTTCCACTCATATACAAAATTCTACTGGTACATCCACACCAAACTCAGTAATGTTCTATACAAACTATTCTACAGCAGTATTAAATAAGTGCCTGAAGAAAAAAAATACACATTTTTGTAATCAGCTACTATTAAAAGATGTCAACATAAGCAGCTGCTATAACAATTAAATTAAACGGAAGTTAAAACAAAATGACATAGTTAATCAAATGCAAAACGTGTACTAGTATGTATCAGTACACAGGGTCACATTAAGCTTACTTAAATTAACTTGTCAGCTTATAATTTTCATATAAAATTACAGAGCTACTGAAATTCAACAATTTTATTAATTATTACCAACCTCCTCAGTAATATTTGGAATGGTTGACTCAACTGAGCGAGTTATTAGTGAAACCACTTCATCTTTGAGTTCATTCTTCTGAAAGGAATCATTGTAGTACTGGGCCAACCAATGACAGAATGGTTTAATGGCTGCTAGTGTTTGGGCGTGTCTAGAATATGAACATTTCAAATACTTACAATCTCATAAATTTCCACAATATTTTCTGATACACTAAATATTCAACATTAGTACACACAAAACTGCCATTCTTAAGAAGTGAAGAAAAGCTAATCTTCTCTAAACGTAACACACACACATTAGATGCTGACATTATATAAATATATTCAAAAACTGAAAATATGTTTTTAAAAACATTAATTTACAGAAAGACCTAAACTTATGGTCAATAATATTTAAGTAGAATATAGTCCACAACTTGATGCAACTTACAACTGGGGTAAGGCCTGACGATTAAAATCATTTAGTGAGTTGGGCAAATAAATGGCAAATGAGTTTTAATTATCATAAATGCAAGGTAATGCATGTGGGTTATCATAACTTGAATTATAAGTATAATTTGGATGTCAATAACCTTAACAGTGTCATGAAAGAAAAGGATCTTGTATTTTGGTTGATAAATCTCTTAACCCATGCAAGCAGTGTGCTGTTATCAGTGATACGGCAAATAGGATTTCTGGATGTATTTAAAGAAATATTGTGCATACATCTAAAGAAGTCATCATTTCATTGTATAGGTAACTGGTCAGACCTCATTTTGAGTACTGCATTCAGTCTTTGTACTCCTTAACGTAAGAAGAACATTAAATTGTTGGAAAGTAGGGCTAGTAGGATTATATCTGGGATGGAAAGATTATTATACAAAGACAGATTATAATCTCTAAAACTGTTTTCTCTTGAAAAATGAAGAGTGACTGAAGTGTTCATGTTTACTAATGAAATTGATGTGAAGTAGTGGATGCACTAAATTTAATAGAGTTTAAGAGAAGCCTTAACAAATATTTAAATGATCAGGTCTGCATTTAACTTTCTTGTGAAGTGGATGGGACAGCCTCGATGGACCAACTGTCCTTAGATTTTAAGTACTATCTATAACTGTACTATCATTCTACAGTGACAGTACTATCAATTGCCATACAATTCTTCTGATAAAAAAACTAGGTGGCTTGATACTCATTTCAGTATGTGAGAATCTTATGTAAATTTCTAGTTTCATAAACATAAAATAAAACTAAGTACAAGTTCATTACCAGCAAAAAAAATTCTAAAATTATCTTCAGCAAATACTACACGATGTTAAAAAATTTGCCTTTGGATATTAAATTTATGAGCATATATGAATGAAAAAAATTCAACTTACACTTCAATAAAATCAGGTTTAAGAACTGATGGGACTGGAGTTTTAACAGTGTAAAATCGCATCTTGTTGCTATACACTGCCACCTGAGAAAGTCTGAAAAACAGAGAAAATAACACTTACATACATACAGACTTCCTGCATGAGATATAAAAAGCAATCAGTTATATTAATTTATTCTTCTCATTAGTGTACACAAGCACTAGATATTTGTTAATATTTTTGGCAATTTAATGCTACTGTAGTAACCTTATGTTTGTTTTTTTCTAAAACTAAAAACAACTAGACATACCCAAACGTCTATATATGTAACTTTGCCCAAACAATTCTGAAGTTATAAAGTACAGATGTGTTTGTAATTTTTCAGCTGTAGTTTTCCTGATGGTAGAAGTGCAACTCCAAATCAACTGTTTGTATACTGTTAAAAAGATCTTGGTAATAAAACCTCTTGCTTTGTATTACATGTTGACAAAATAGAACTTTTTGGAATACAAGGACTTATAAATGATGTAATGAAAACAAGTTATATAATCTCTTGACATTTTGTAATTATGTGTTTATAAGCAATCTTGCAGGACTAATGTTTTTCACATTTCAGTCACCATTATCATTAATACCATAACAAACATTATTAAATTTGTTAATTAGACTTAATTATAGCATTCTGTATCCTGTGTTGGAAACATGGTTGCTTTACAGAGGTACTTAATGTTGATTTTCCTACTTTACTAAAAATATTATGTGATGGTAGTTGTTTGAGCAGTAAGACTATAGGTATGTCAAACTTCAGAGACATCGGAAAATCAAATTTGCATGATTGATTTATATTACTTTACTGCTCCAGCATTATTTTAACATTGTAGAAAAACTAGTGGGAACTTCAGAGAATTATTTTATGAGATTAATGACATGTATTATTATTAAAAGACTAATGTAATTATAATTGTGTATTTCATTTTAAAATGTTTAACAATAAAATTTAGACACACTGACAAAAATAGTGATCTGTAAACTTCTGTCTTCATTACACTGACAAAAATTTATTGATTAAATATAAATAAAAAAGCTGTCTTAAAATAATTTATCAAGTCTTCTCAGAATTATATTACATATTCTTTGAAGTTCCTCTTTTCCATAAATTTTACTGGAAAAAAAGCATTATATATTCAATACCTGAACTTCAACACAATGTTACCTTTGAACAATGTTTGATGCTGTTGGAAAACGGTCCCAGAAATTTTCTCCAATAAACTGGTCTGCCATCCTCCCAATTGCTTGTAATATAGATGACAGGTCTCGTAAGGCACAGTGTAACCGACGACACTCATTCTCAGCTGTAACACAGAGTTGTCTTGTTGGTGACCCATCTTGCAAATGTACATATGGTTCCAAACCGAAATACAAGTCTATATTTTCTTGGAACAATGGGTACTGAAAAAGTGAATCTTTTTTATTCACACACACAAAGGATATTATTCTACACTATCTTAAAAAAAACAGGAAAACTGGCTCAGTATCACCTGTTCCTATTCTAGCAGCAATCTTGTTTTTCTAAATGTTACAAATTAGATCCAAACTACAGACATAGTTTGAAAATATGTTTGTTATTACAAGTATTGCAGGATAATTACTTTAAACACTAGTTCCTTATCAGTAAGGAAATAAAAACCCCATCTTCAATGAAAATAGGATAATGCTTCAGATATATGTCTATTTTCAATACTACAACAATATTGTTCAATTAACAAGATCTTTCATCTTTGTAAAATAATAATTACTTTAAAAAATCACAACAGCTGCTCACACAATTGCACAGAAATCAATGTGCTTATAAAACTTTACAAAACTGGCTAGCCAGTAGGTAATTTTACCAAACTCTGTCATGTCTGGAAGATCCATTGAATTCAATATTATTGCAAGTAAACTTTAGTTGTTCAGTCATTCTTCCAAATATTCAAAGAAAACAAATACTTCAGAGCTGAAATCTATTTCAAAACAAAGTTTTATTTATTTATTTAATTTTGTACATAAACATTTTTAAAAATTACAAATTTTGATTCTGGGTTGATTTTAGCACACTCTGAATGAAATCATTAGTGTTTGTGAATTTTCTGAATTTTTTTCTGATGATGATAAGAACTTGCAACTCTAGAAGAAAAGTCGTGAGTTTTGAGTAAAACAGTGCCAATTTCACCTTGTAACTTGAATATAAGTGTAGTTTTATCAATATTTAGTCAACCACTGTTTCTCAATCTTGGTTGTCATGATGTGATGTAATTGCTTGTATATCAGTTCCAACAAATCATAGGCTAGTGATCTAAACATGTAATAAAAGCTCTTTTTATCTGTTCAACATTACAAACCAACTGAAACAAAGTATGGAAATCCTAGTTTAGTGATATGAAGCTAAAAGAAAAGATTGTAGTGAAAAACTTCTACTATAATTACACTCCCAATTTTCTTTTTTTTAAAGAATGCATTACCATATCTTACTTCATCTGAATCATGATATTGTAGTATGACAGGAAAAAAAAAGTTTTTCACAGAACAAAAAAAAAGCAGGAATTTGGCTTCACAACCTGAAATAAAAACAAGTCAGACTGTCTGATTAACCCTATTGCCATGGGTATCCTTTACCACGCATGACACAAGGTTTTAGTGTCTTACATTCAAAACTTTATTAACCCTTTCAAGATAAGTCAGGGGTGAAAGGCCATGTCATCTTGTTTGTTGACTTGCATTCAAAATTTTATTGAACTACTAT